GCAACCATTTACATGAAAATATTCAAATGAAGTCAACCTTAATGCTCTTTTGACATTTAATAGACTGTAAAATCTGTGCTAACAAACATTAATTCACACTTCTCTGGACTACATGAGACTTGAATGTTTAAGAGAATATGGTTAACATAATTTAGTGTTTATGACGGTCTTACAGAATCTTCCTGGGACATTTCTGGTTAGCAGATCATACTGAGTCCCTAACACGAAATAATCCAAGGCGGTCATTCCAAGGCACTATTCATGATGGAAATTTGTTGGGATTAGGTTTGTTTGGGCATAAAAGAGGTTAAGGAGCACTGGTCTAATGGACTGTGTATGTTGAATACAAAAATATCTCTGGATATCCCTATCAGTTTTCCTCAGTTAACATCCACTGATGACCTATGAAACGGTATCATGAAGGGCAATTTATTGTGGTCTTCAATGGTGCTCAGCCTATTGGTAACACTGTCAGAGACAATTCACTATTCCAGACACTTGTCTGACCTATAAAGTATTTAAAAAATTTGATGCATAACATACAATAAAATACATAGATCACAGGTTTTCTGTTCAATGAGTTTTTAACAACTGAATACACCCATGTACCCACCATGCAAATCAAGATATAGAGCATTTCCATCACTACTGAAAATTTCCTTGTCTCTTTTCATTCCTCCATCATTTTAGATTAGTTATGTCTGTTCTTATATTCAATATACATCGAATCATAAAGTATGTATTCTTTTCCAACTTCTTCCACTTAATGTCTTTGAGATTTACTTATCTCATGCATTAGTTCATTTCTAATGCTGTTTTCCATTGTATGAATACACCAGTTTGTCCATTCTGTTTACAGTTTGGGGCTATTATTAATAAAGCTCCTATAAACATTCTTGTACAAGCTTTTTTGTAAACGTATTTTGATTTTTTTGGGTAAATGCCTAGGAGTGGAATTGCTGAGTTGCATGTTAAGTGAATCTTTAATAAGAAACTAATGAACAGTTCTCCCAAGTGGTTGTTGCATTTTACACTTCCATCAGTATGTATGAATGTTCCAATGGCTTCACGTTCTCAGCAGCATTTGTTGTTAGTCTCTTACTGTCATCCTAGTGGATGTGAAATGGTATATCAATCATTGTGGTTTTAATTTGTACTTCCCAGAGGATCTAAGATGTTGAATACTTTGGCATAAATTTTAAATTTTGATAAAGTCCAACTTACCTTTTCTTTCTCAGTGCTGTGTCCTATCCAAGAACTGTCTACCTACTTCAAGGTCAAAGATATTCTGTTTTTTTCTACAAGCTTTTGTTTCTGAGATTTTACATTTAGATCTATGATGCATCTCTTTTTTTTTTTTTGGTTTGTTTGTGTAGCAAATAAGGGTCAAGGCTCGTTTTCTTTCATACAGATACTCAGTTGTTCCACTAATATTGTTAAAAAGACTTGCCTTTTCTTACTGAATTAACCTCCCACCTTGGCCAAAACTTGATTGTGTACGTGTAGGTCTATTTCTGGACTCTTGATCCCATTCCATTGCTATATTAATCTATTCTTATCCTGATTTCACAGTGTTGATTAGTGTAGCTTTGTAGTAAATCTTGAAATCACACAGAGTGACTCTTCCAACTTGTTCTTCCTTTTCAAGATTGATTTGGCTATTTTAAGGTCTTTGCACTTCCACATTCATTTTGGTATATTTTAATCAGTCTATTATTTCTTTTTTTTAAGATCCTGATGGAATTTTGATAGGGATTGCATAAATATAAATCAATTTAGGGAGAATAGACACCTTAACCAAAAGTTGAGTTTTCCAATTCATGAACATACTACGTCTCTTTCACTTGGGTTTTCATTCTCAGCAAAGTTTTGTGGTCTTCAGTGCAGAGGTCTTGCACATCTTCCTATAGAGTTGCTCCTAGGTATTTGATGTTTTTTGCTGCTACTGAAATGTTATTTTTAAAATTTACGTTTCCAATC